GAGAGCTGAAGTTTCCTTCCCACAAATGTACTTCTTGAAGCAATGTGCATGGTTTAAGCTTGAGAAGTGGGAAATGCTTGATTATTAAACAGGAGCAGCTTATTACCTGCTCATTCCAATCATCAATGACAACCAGGTTGCCTCCATATTGCTCACATTTCGTGTGCGCAAAAGACCAGGCCTGACTCTCCATCTGGAAATAGTAGCATTTGTCTTTGTTCAGCAGCCAACCTTTTGGACATATCTGGCAGCCCGAAGCTATAAAAAAGTTGTAGATATTTAAAGAAGACAGATAATCACATATTCTAGAGTTGATTTTAATCATTAAAACCAATATTGTCAATGCTTGTGATAATTTGGTCCTGTCTGTAAATCTAAACGATCTATACAGTCTTGAAAATGAAGCCTAGGCCCAGATCCTGACTGGCAAAAACTGCAATACTGTATTTGCAGCTTTAAAAAAAACTTAATGTCTTTCAGAAGTTCTGCTCTGCAGATAATCAGATATAAGACCTCCTGTTTGAAATTGACTCTAAGGTTGTTGCTGCTATACTGGCCTCCCTGTTGCTCAACAATATCCCTACCAAACTGCTTAGATTTGATTGCCAGATGGCTTATAGCTCTTGGGACTTTGATCTGCCCCCAGATGGCATGAAGTGTGAGTCAGTCCAGAAGTTCATCACCACCAGACATTCAGGGGCCTAACCTATGTCACATACACATTGGGGACTATGCATTAGACCTGGTTTGTATCTCAGAGCAGTCACAATCTGTGACTGCTTTGCCATAATCAGGTCATTCTCTTATCACCTTTTCAGCTTGCTAATGCTGCTGCCACCATGTGGCCAGGGGGAAACTATAGATTGGTCCACCACAGTTGACTTGGGAGTTCCAGGGTGGATTATTTTTTCCCCCTTAGGTTCTATGGGTGGTTTGACTGAGGCCTTGGTCAGAACCTGGAACCAAATATATTAATTTGTATCTATCTCATTTAAATAACCAGAGAAGATGCATAATAATGTGTGGTACTGTAACCAATGCTTTGGTGGTAGGCATGTGGTAAAACTGGTCTACAGTTCAAAACTATAACTTGTGAACTTTCATTTGTACTTGTATTGTTTAATTCAAAAGTCAACAGCCTAGTATCAAACACAAGCTTTCTTCAACACTGCCTCTATTTCAACTAGATTGAGTGCTTAACTCTGAAGGAGTAACATTTTATGAACTGACGGACAGAGGAATTGTATCTTACCGTTAATCTTATGGACTGCATTGATTAATTTAACGACTGTCTCCACATTTTCGTTACTTTGAGTCTCTATCCGTTTTATGTTTTGGTTCACTAAAAGAACAAATATATAGGAAAACAATTAAATGGAAATAGAACTTGATGTAACTCAACTTCTTTCAATCTGTGCCTTCCAGATATGTTGAAACTCCTGTACCCATCATATCCTATTAGTTGAAGAGTTTCAGTTCCAAGACATCTGGTGGGCACCGGATTGGAGAAGGTTAGCCATTGATATATTGATGCAGAGGAGAATTCAAAGAAAGAAAACCATTAAAGGTCATATGGCATACTCAAGAGAAGGTAAGTCTACAACCATTCTTCCTGTCACCCAGAATTTTGATGATAAGCAACGTATGGCTGGAAGAATTTTCCATCTTCCATTTTTCCATTAATGCAAAGATGGATTTCTGGCAGAACGTGCTTTCACTATGGCTGGAAAATCATCTTGTCAAAACCATCTTGTCAAAACCATCTTGTCAAAACAAAGTCCAGAGTAGCTTCTGACCCAGCACCATCTTTGGGGCCAGAAATCCAATAGCATGCACATTCAGAATTGGATCACTGTCATGAATCACTCCTATTCTACTGGACAATCCAGCAGCAAAATCAGGATTTTTTTTAAACCATTGCAGTTACAAAAAACAAATACTATACAAATGCAAAATAAATGTGTAATGAAAAATTAGAGTGACTGCCTCAACTCCCACTCCATAAATTTCAGCAATTATGCAAAACTAAGTAAGCTTATCATTCCTATTAAACATAAGGTTTTGGTTTATTTATTTTCAGTGAAAAAATATAAATGTGTAAGATTTTATCATTGTTTTATCTGATATATAGATTAAAAATGAATTGTACACATATTTTTTGCCCAACCCTAATGCCCATGAATTTGTTAGTTTTATTTAAATGGGAGTCACACAGCTTCATTTTTTATTTTGAGAGTTTATAGTACCACAAAGTCTGAGAACTCCTGGTTTAGATACTGAGTAATCTTATTGCTTTTCATACATTTCCTCTCATCAATACTGGGAAAGCATGAAAATTGGTTTTAGTTTTATATTTTTTTCTCATGCCATTTTCTGCATGTAAAGTTATTTATATGTAGGCATGGAAGAGAGAAAAAATATCATCATTCTGTTCCTTAAATTCACCTCTGCAGTACATGCTGGTGGCAGTAATCCAGCCTTCCTCAATCGGGACTTTTCCAGCTGTGCTGAAACCAAAGTTGTTGGACTTTCAACCAGTACAATACTGTCAATATTCTAATTTCTATGTATCTAGAAGACATTTAACACTGAACAATTTCTTGTTTATTCAGTTGTTAACTTATTTATGCTTCCTTCCCATGTTAAAACCGTGTTGATATAGAAATTTTGATAATCTGTGGCCATTTTAAATAAAAACAGTTACATATTTATTTAAGAAACCCAGAAAAATTAACATCCTTTGACTAATTTATTCCATCCTTTGCATTTCATGAGTGCTTTCCGTTTATTTATTTATTTTCCATATTTACTTTCTTATTGGCTTGGAAAACTTATACATTGCCAGGAAAAAAAATCCTACTTTGCTGAAGATGTCATTAATTTCCTGGTTGATGATCAGAATATGAGTCCTTATGTTTGGCCAAAATGCTTTTTTGAAAAGTGTTCCTGGAAAACACGTCTGAATATGTGAAAGATTCACACAGCTGCTTTCTAACACAAGAGGACAGGGAGAGGAATTAGTGGACTGTTGATACTGATGTGTGTCCCTCCCAAGATCAGTCACCCAAGGCAGATCCCTCACTTTAATATTGGACCATCCTTGATAAGGGTAATTTGTCAAAGTTGTCCTTCAGAAAGAAAGACAATAGAGATACAGTGAACAGATCTTAGGAACTTAGACTGATGTTGCCAGGAATGACTCACAGTTTTCTATTTGGAACAATCCAAAGTAAATCTTATTCATGAAATTCCCAATTAACAAGCTCATCTATCCACCTTATCTTCCTTTCTCACCAGAAGCAAACCCGTATCTGCCTATAAAGACCACTTACCATCCTTTTTCATGCTATTGTGATCATCCTCCAGCTTTTTTAGGTTGTCATTTAGTACTGTTTCTGAAAAAAAAAGACACAGTAAACTGCAGTTGCTACTTTGAGAGAAAAGCCATTTTTAAGACTTGTGTATTTCCCTAAGCAAGAAAAAATAGGAGGTGCTAAGGGATTAGGTTATAGTGGTTTGATTTAAAACTAAATGTCAAGACCACAGTGGAAGCCCACTCCTTAATAAGCAGCACAATTGTAAATTCTGCTTAAAATTCCCCAGAGAACCAGTGCAGATGGTTCTCTATGCCCTAAGTTTAAAAATATGAATTGCTTTTTCTTCTCCCTCCTAGAATATCCTTGAAGAGTACTAGTCTCAGACCTTAATCCAATAAACCAGTTAATCCAATAAACCAGATCCCCATCCTAAGTGGGCATGAGCTCCCAATGACAAATTGCTTTATTAATTCATTCAGTTGGACATTAATCATTTTCTCCTAATAGCAGATGATCAGCCAAGGCATCCAACAGGATAAAGGAGACAAAAAATATTAAAATGGTGGTTATATGCCTTTGATTATAACCTCAACAGCATCATCTTGAATTTTTGACCCCTTTCCCCCAGACAATTAACAAAATATGGTTGCCCAGCAGCCAAAACAACATGTGATAGTTGGGGGAACAAAAGCAAAGGATGCTTGGCATAAGGAAGAAAGAAGTGAGGAGGAAACATCAGTTGGGATATCAGACACAAGATTTGGCTAATGCATACCCTGAGCAGAATGACTGGAGTCGAACTGCTGCAACTGCTTCTCTGTATTGAGACCTAGAAAAGACAGAATATTAGCCAGAGGGACCTAGTTCAAAGTTTAATGTTTTACCAGCCAGATAATGTACAATATATGGACTGACTGGAAATTATAAGATTGCTATCCCACTTTAAACCCCTCCATGGTCAGGTTTAGTTTTAGCAACTCTAGGAATTTATAATCCCAACCTCACTGGAAAACTTTCCCAGAAAACCCAGCCTCTTCTAGAAATCTCACCATGAATTTACTGTTAGTTTGTATGAGCAATGTGCATACACATCTCAATGAATTCAAAATTGGAATGTCCGCTTTCCATACCTATCAAAATGGTGATCATTAGTCTCTGATCAATATATATTACCAAGAAACAGGAAAATATATGACTGCTTTCTGAAATCCTGCATTTCTATTGTACAGTATTCTAGTTACTATTATCACTATGAAACTCTGTTGGCTAGCTTAAGGTAGCCTTTGCTAAGGCTACCTTAAGCCTTAGCATCCAGATCTGTACATTTCTAGAATACTGGTTAGGGAATTCTGACTGTTGAAATCCATACATCTTGAAGGTCCTTCGACTCAGAAGATTACATTGCCTATAGTATAATAGGTTGCATTATATTTTTTCATTGTTTTTCTAGAATTCAATGGTGAAATATAGGAAAGACATTTTCCCTAAAGACTGTATATTCACCCCCTTCCCCTTTTATGTAAGTCTACTTTTGCAGTTGCTTACAAAACATTTCTGCACACGTGAATCTGATTGGTTAGCTATTTCAATTATTGTTCTTTTAAAAGCTGATTTTTGTAATTGAGATAGAAATTACAATATATATATATAGCTGTTTAGAACAACAAAATGGAATTATTACCTTTTTTGGTCAGCAAAGTTTGATTCAAACGCAGCTCTTCTAGTTCCTTGGAAATCGTAGAATCTGAAGGAATAGGAAGACTGAATTTAGACATTGCATCAAACCGTGGTTTCCTGGATGAACTATAACTGTCCAGGTGAGCACCACAATTATACACTAAGCCACAAATCATCCTCTATAAATTACAGTAGCTGGGTATGCACTACTCAGTGAGCCAAATCAATTACATTGCACTCTATGTGACATGTTAAGCCTGGCCAAGACTAGTCAACTTGAAATGAACTAGTATGATTTTCACTTTGAGAGATAGACTGCCTCATTAGTATGGCTAGCAGTAGATTGTGGCTTCCTATGAAAGATAAAGAGGATGATCTCGAGCCTATAACAGAAAATAATATAAGTTTCTGACATGTTTCAAATGATTGTCTTCTTAAGGGATAAATGTGTGCTGCACAGTATCAGTCCACTGTCTTATATAAAGACTGTTATAATAAAAAGGTACAATTATTGACCAAATTTCTCCAGTTCAAGCACTGGTATTTCAGAATTTCATTGTCTTTTGCTAGCATGGAGATGGTATTCCTTCTACAATTAGGAAGAGCATGAGGTAAAGATGAAGGGGTGACAAGCAAAAGAGAATCTGAGTGACATCTAAAAAGAACCTGAGGCATCAATGAATAAGATGCATCTGTGGAGGAAGACGTGAGACATTAAGAAAAGGATAATATTTTCATTTAATACAATTTTATCCAACTTTTCTCATTAAAAAGAGTGGCTGATATCCTCTCTAACAATTAGCTAGCTATGGAGAGAAGCGTTTCACAATCTGTAGAGAAAAATGTGAGAAGGGATGGTGATTGGCTACCAGATGTGAGGTTCTGAATAAAGGCTTTCATGTGAAGTGTTCAGCTTGGGAATCGCGTGACGGGAAAAGAATGTCCATAACCAAGAGGCTGTATTGGGACCTGAGCAACCCCCCCCCCACATTATTTCCTACCGTATTTTTTTCCAGGACACTGAGATCAGCAGTCACAAAAAGCAAAGATTACTTTTCCCATCCCCAAACTTCATCAAACACAAAATAAATTGTAAGGTATTCTAAATAAAAAGTAAGGTATTCTGCTGGTCTCCATCCAACCAGCCCCAGCTAGCATGGCCAATAATCTGAATTGATGGCAATTGTTGATAGTATCCACGCAAATATTTCAATGACAAAACAGCTTCAGCTTGTAGAAAACCGAGTCGTAGTTTTTAGTCAATATGTTTAGTGAGTAGACGCTCTAAAAATAAATTATTTTCAAGTGCACATATAATTTAAAACACAACTGGGATACCTTGTTTCTGGTCTAGATTTTTTTTTTAAACAATGGCACCTCTCATCTCCCAAAATTCCCCAAGCTGAGACAAAATGTAGGAAATGCAGACTTAACACATCTGAAGGGAAATATTTTGAGGTGATCTTCCTTACTTATTTGTAAGGCACCAGACTATACCCTATTCTCTTTCTCCCTCTTTCCTTCACATCCAAGATCTGCTATTTTAGAATGGAGATACAGTAGATGAGCCAGCTTTTGACTCAGGAGCCATACATTTTGATGTCATTACAGCAATAATGATGATCCACAGCAAAAATGATGCAATGTTCACAAGAAAAATGATGGGCAGGGATACTCCTGAACCACCTCGGCAGCTTTGCGGCAGAAAACTACCTGTGGACAAAAAAACATGTTTTATGGAACCTACAGTGGTAAAACTAGGATAAGAATTCAATTATTAATACTATGGAAGAAAAACCACACTAAGTTCCGCATACTAGCTAAAATCCCATTCATTCTGGAATAATATTTGTATTAGCTTTTCTTTATAGCAGCAAAACATGCTTTTATACAGCTGGTTTCCTACATGGCATAAATTTGTATAATTATTAGGCTCTTTCTTCATCACATACATGAAATGGACTAGGAAAGACATGAGAATGTACACAGGGAAAAATTAACTGTCTTTGAAATGAAACACAACACATCAGAGTAAATGTTCTTAAACAACGGCACAATAAGAAAAGTACTATTTCTCTACAGCTTACTGCAGCTTTAGTGACTCCATCAACTTGAATGCACCAAATGGCTAACACTGTATTTTCTTGGTTTTTTTCCCCTTTGAAAACATTTCACTTCTCATCATCCAAGAAGCTTGGATGAGAAGCAAAACGTTTTCAAAGAAAAAAAAACCAAGACAGTCCAGCTGCCTTTTGGAAAAAGCACCTTTGGGTACCCCTCTGAACCTAGAGATCATTTCTATGTTACAAAGGAGATTTTGCTGTGCTTTCTGTCTTGCGCGCATAGTCTCTCTTTCTCCACAGAATCCTGAGAAATGATATTTGGGGGCGAGCAGGCAAGGAGTATTTATACTATAACAATAATTTGTCAGCTCCCATCAACTATCACACTCTCGCCAATATTGTTTAAAGCAGGGGTAGGCAACCTTGGCTCTTTTATGACTCGTGGACTTCAACTCCCAGAATTCCTGAGCCAACTGAGTTGAAGTCCACGAGTCATAAAAGAACCAAGGTTGCCTACCCTTGCTTTAAAGTATTGATTAAAAGAAGTTCTGAATGTCTGCTAAGAAAGTGCTAGTTTTCCCTTGAATCTTTTAAAAGCAACATCATTTGAATTTCATATCTCAGTATTAAGTTTTGAATATATATTTTAGCTACAGCTGTTAGAAATGCCTGAAGTATTTTTTAAAAAAAATCAGTCTACTACCAAACCATTTTATCTGTGAGATAAAATAGGCCAGGAAAAGATTAATTCTTTGATCTCTCAAGTACCATATTAGGTTCTTTATCTGATTTAGTAACTTTAGAGCAGTGTTTCTCAACCTTGACAATTTTAAGGCATGTGGACTTCAACTCCCAGAATTCCACAGCCAGCAATGCTGGCTGTGGAATTCTGGGAGCTGAAGTCCACATGCCTTAAAATTGTCAAGGTTGAGAAACACTGCTTTAGAGAGAAATGACATCTACATCACAAAGATGATTTCTGAGCTGCTTTTCAGCGTGAAAGCAGTAAGATAATAGCTAGGATGCCCACAATTCCCAGAATTCATTTGGGGAAACTTGTAGCTTAACTGTTTTAAACCTGATAAGAAGTCTTAATATACATGAATTAGATCTGGTCATCTTCTCTTCGTTCCAGAATACACGTGAATGCTTTGTGTTCTGAATCATTATGAATCTTGCTGATCCAGCAAAAGAGGTTATGACCAATTGATCACAGACTGATGAAAGCAGGAAGCAGCTGCCTTCGGTATGACCCAGAGAAAGGGAACAAACTAATTGTCCCCTGAAACATTGCACAACAAAGATCATATGGTTACAGGCCCAAGATGCTCTTGCACAGTAGTTCTCATCCTGTGGGTCGGGACCCCATTTGGGGTCGATCGACCATTTCATGGGGGTCGCCAAGCAAGGCTGTCCGCCATTTTTTTGTCCGCCATTTCCCCCCCTTTTCCAGCGGGTGCCTTACCTCCCTTGGGCTGGGCCAGCTGGTGGTCGGCCTGCTCCGTCTCTGCCGCTTGCCAGCTATGCCTCGGCCGGCGCAGGGGGCGGAACCACGCATGCGCGCGCTCCCGGGCAGGGAAAGTCCTCGACTTACGACCGGTTGGGTAGTCCTCGACTTACGACCGGTTTAGTCCTTGACTTACGACCGGTTTAGTCCTCGACTTACGACCGGTTTAGTCTTCGACTTACGACTGGTTGGGGTCGCGGCATTAAAAAGGTTGAGAACCATTGCTCTTGCAGAACAGAAATGCATAGAAAGTTGCCTTAGGGTGGGGCCAGACTATCTGAACTGAGATTACTTTGATCCGCCTTACTAGTGTAGAGTTCAGAAGCAGCACATTAAAAAGGGAAAAGGCTCATTCTCTGGCCAGTTACCCTCTGTGGGTGTGATAATTGATATTCTCTAAGGGAAACTCAGGTACATGTTGCCTACAAAATACTGACCTAATTAGTAAATCAACTATGGCTGTTTAACCATGGTTAATTAAAGGAACTGCAACCATGTGGGTTTGCATGTGATGAAGTTCACATTATTTACAGTATACCTACTTTATAAGGATAAGCTTAGAAATCTTGTTTCATAAAATTACTGAACTTGAAGAATCAACTGAGGTCATCAACTCCATCCCTCTTCTCAATACAAGAATACAAATTAAACCATCCCAGAGAGATGATTGCCTAACTTATGCTTGACGACATCTAATGAAAAGGACATTTCAGGAAATGTTTAAGAAAGTTTGGTTGCTATCTCCTTGCTGTTGGAAGTGGAGATCAAAAATTGGAACATAAATTTATAAAGATTGGGCTTTGTCTTCAGGATCAGGTTAGGACTACAGGCCTTTCATCAGGTCAGACCATTGACCCATCTACCCCAGTGTTAGCTAGAGTGACTGACTGCTGATTCTCTCGGGGATAAAGACAGAGGATCCTCCCCGCACACCTTAGAACAGGGGTCCCCCAAGCCGCAGTCCGTGGAGCGGCACCGATCCGCAGCATGCCAAAAACTGGGCTGCAGGATGCAGAGAGCATGCAAAACCACGCTCCCTCCAGTCGTGGAAACAACACTCTCCACGAAATTGGTCCCTGGTGCCCAAACGTTTGGAGGTCACTACCTTAGAAGACAATTAAACCAGAGTTTTCTGGTATGCAAAACCATGTGATCCTTAACGCAGCTCATATGATGAATTATCCCTCCATATCAGCAAAGAACAGTTACTCTCAGTAAGCATGTACTTCAAGCAGCTAGAATTCTTCCCTCATCCTTTAATTTGCTAGATGGATGGAATGTTTAAATGTTTGGAAATAAGTGAAAATGGAAAGGGGTATTCTCGTTCTTCTCAGATCTCCACTCATTTCCCATAGCATGTACCTTTGCAATTTTTTTCCCGTTTATAGTCCAATTTTGCACAAATCCATTCATTAATAAGTCCCATCATGGTGAGTGAGGGTTATTGTCAGACACCATAAGTATAAGAATTGCGATCTTCATGTTATTGAAGAAGTTGTGGTGCTCTACCAAACTGGCAATCATTTTCATGAATAAGATCTTAAATAGCCAGCAGGAGATTGCACTGTTGTTCTAAGCTTCTCTCCATTTGGCTCTGAAAGCAGCTGTTTTTCTGGAAATTCTCCCCCCAAGAGGCACAAGTCAAAATTTCTGAATCCAGCTAGAGCTGGCAATTACCTGTTTTTTCAAATATCTTGCTTGGTTTCTTCCCCTGTTCCTCGGGTTCCTCGCATCTCTTATAGATACCCTGTGATGATTCCATTTTTCTCAGTCTCTGGAACCTGTGAGACTTTCAGCTATTTAATATAGTCTAAAGTTCTCCCAAGCTTTTTTCTGAGGAAAGGAAATGAGCATGAGTAGTCACTCTTCCTCTTTTCAGCTCAGAACTTCCACGAAGTTCTTAAAAACCATCCTCTGAAAATCCATCCTAATGCACTGGTTAACATGACTCCTAAGGGCTGCATTGGAATATGATGTTCAGTACTGCTTCAGTACTAAAGTGTCTGCTTTGTGCATGTCAGAATGAAAGTACAGATCTGGGTACCGTTCAAACCATCTGCGGATGTTGATTGGAAAACCCAGTGCTACACATGAGTAGTCCAAAACTATTTCAGCAGTATCAGACTTTTCTGGGAATCATGGACTCCTCCACATGGCAGCATTAAAGTGTTTTTCTGCTGCACAGGAGCCAGGAAGAAAATATGCCAACATAAAAATATGCCTGGATTTTTGCCTTGACAATGAAGCAGAATATGGGTTATATTCACAGGAGACATGAGGAGCAGGAAAAGCCTCTTTTGGTAATAGCCACCAATAGCAGAAGGTCTGTGGAGTGGAGTTTCCAGTCTGTGAAATTAGAAAACTGATACCAAAGGAATTGTTCTTCCCTGCTTCATCTCCATTTACTTCTTGGGGCAGAGAAGTACAGGTAGTCCTTGTTTAGTGACCACAATTAGGACTGGCAACACTGTCACTAAGCAAAGCAGTCACTAAGAGGGAAATCACTTGACCATGATTGTGCTTTTCTTTCCCCCACTCCCCTGCCATTTGGAATGCTCACCACAATGATGCTGGGATAATTAGCAAGAAGAGATTTAATGTTTATATTTATATTCATTGGAGAGGAAGGGATTGCAAGAGAGTAAGCAGGCACACAATGGGGAATGTTGTGGAGTGCACTAGTGGTTGCCAGTGTCGGCACATTGCTTTCAATGTGTGTACTCCATTGTGTGCCTGCTTACTCTCTTGTAATCCCTTCCTCTCCAATTTCTCTGCTCTGGGGGGTGGAGGCAGAAAAAAAAATAGTCAGGAACAGAATACCATGTACTGACAGTGATCATATGACTGAGGGACAGCTCTCCTGTAACTTCAAACAGTTGCTGAATAAAACAGCAAGGATAACCTGTAGAGAAGAACAGCTCCTTCAATGACACTTCTTCTGGCATCAGGAAGAAGAAATCTCCAACCATCCTTTATTAGAAAGAAATGGTGGCTGAATACTCAATTCCTGTCACTCCTCTGTAAGAAAAATATATAAAAGGAAGTGAATCTTCTTGCCACTAAGAAGACTGCCAACCAGAAGACCTACTTCCCCAATTCCCCAACCCTGCTTTTCTTGCTTACATCCAAAAAAAGCGACTGACCAAATTTCAGAAATAGAGCAAAGAAATAAAAGCTGTCTCTGCGGTGGCAGCAATAAGTTAAAAGCGGTATTGTCCATTTAAACCCTCTAAATATGGTGGTTGAAATATCTCCATTCAATAGTTAGCAGGTGATGCAGAAGAGCTCCGACACGCAGTCATGCCATGTCCCCGAGAGAGGTTCAGAAATCATATTGCAAAAATTTAGAGAGGAAGCAGAATCGTACCTGTCTCTTGGAGTGATTTGGCTAAACATGACTTATTGTTTGTTGAATATGAAAGATTCACTCACTGTACAAAAGCAGAAACCCCTAATAAGCATACATTTGCTGTCTATGCACATACTATATTCTATGCTTACAGGGCATAATTCAACTTTTCACGTACATGGAGAAAAGCAGCGGGAAAGCCTCTTCCCAAGGCTCAGCTAATATGTGAACACAGAAGGACAACCTCTCAAAGTAACTAATTCTGTTGAAGAAGTTCCTTAGTCCCCTTTTGCTTCACCAGAGAAATGAGCTGAATAATAATTGGAGAAAGCCATATTCTGCTGCAGGTTGGAGGAGTGGATGGATGGATGGATGGACAGATAGACAGATCTATTTCTTTTATATGTTTACAATCAAAGACAAAACAGAAACAAGCAAACCCAATGATAAACCTAACCAAAGATTGTATGCTAAAACAGTATAGTGAGTACATTAAAAATACATGTATTTAATAAAATTACTACACTATTAAGTGCTGGAAACAACTAGTAATTAAACAGAATTTGGAGATTCTTCCAGATATTTCAAATGGCCTTTCAGCTAGTAATATTCTCTGTCTCTGAGCTACCATAATTATGAGTTACTAGAGGCAATATCAGCTCAGTTCACTTAGCCATGTGAAAAGGGCAACCCAAAATCACAGGAGAAACAGATTCTATTTCCTATATAATGGACATGATAAATTCACTTTCCTCCAACAGTGAGGATGGCAAAACATTAAACCGAGCAAACGCAAAATGTCTCCTGTGAATTAGATAACGAGTATTAACTACATAGTTGTCATAGAAGAACGGTCTTCCAGAAGACCTCCCCTTACAAACAAGGTAGGGTTGTATTTCAGTTATGCTGAATATTGTTCTTCAGGGCCCATTGCTCCAGCTCTAACCAAACTATCTTGGTCAAGCCATAACATTTTAAACCTAGATCAATATGTTGGAAAAAAAGTCTTCATTAGGGTCCAGTCCTAGCTGGGAATAAATAAAATGGAGACTGCTTTAGAAAGAAGGTTGTAGTTTATTAAAGAGCAGAACCACAAAACATGAGGCTCTGACCACATGTAGCTGACCACATGTAGCTGGAAGTGGTGGGTTTTTACACTTTCTTGGGGTTTGTGTTTAAGGTTTCTGTTCCTGTGGCATGAACTTTGACCTGACGTTCAGTGTACCTTTCTGGGGGCTATTAAGAAAAACTGGGCCTGCTTCTCTGCCTTTAAGATCCTTTGAGGAAATATAATATTCTGCCTTTTAATATTTCCAAAATATTTCTTTCTCTGGGGGGGTGCTGTCCTCCTACAAATACTTACCTTCCCAGAAGACATAAAACTATATTATAAGTAAAGGAATCCAAAGAACTGCCATCAAAAACAAATCTGAGAGTAATATAAAATATTGTACTAGATGCACGCTCAGTGCAGACAATAGATTCTGAAATGGCCCCCTTCATTTTTAATGGCAAAACCAGCATCCAGTTAGCTGTTTTTAAAAATCCCAAAATTATTCTCAGGGTAGTTGATTCTTTGTTTTAAATTTTATTCAGCATGGCCTCTGGAGTGAGACCAGCATGCATGGGTACTCAAAAGCAACAATGATAGAAATTAGTGCTACGGTACTAAGTCACAGCTGAGTATCACAGATAGTGATTTCCATTTTGCAACAACTACAAGTGAGCTGTCTGTCTCCCAGAGTATCTGTCTGGCTACTTTGATTGTGCAGGGTTGGGGCACTCTGGCTTCCTTTGACTAAACAATTAAACAATCTATTGGGACCCCAGGCACTCTCCTTCATTCCCTCCAAGTTCTGGGTGTCCCCCCACTCTGGTGTTGTTTAGAAGAATGATGAAAACCTGGCTCTTCATCCAGACTAGAATGAAGTGAAACCCTGGGTAAGATTCCCCCCTCTCCCATTCTTGCCATATTTTATCTTTTTTCTTCCATTGATTTTGTTGTAATTTCTTTGTTTCGATTGTTATGAGCTGCCCAGAGTTGTTGGGAATCAGGAGGCGTACAAAATTAAAAGTAAATAAATCTGCCTGGCAGAGCATGGGAACTATACTGTAAAGGAGAAGAGTGACAGGTGATTCTCTGCCACTACACTTCACTTCATTTCACAGCCTTTCCCCTTCCTCAACTATCAGCTGTCAGTTGGGGCAGGTCTGCCCAAAGGGAAAGACCACCATTCCATTCCCTTTTGATTCGTATTGAGTCAAGGGTAGCTAGTGCCTTTGAGCCTTCCTCCGCCTCTAAAGGATATCAGTGAGAAAAGCCAGCAATTTTCTGAAAAGACCATGCTTGGCAGAAATTATTGCTCCAGATCAGGGGTGTCAAACTGCTGGCCCGTGGGCCGGTTTCATCATACCGAAGCCACGCCGACCCCATTGCCGGCAATGCAAAAAGAGTCATGACACGTCGCAACACGTCACGTGACATGGGGAGTTTGATACCCGTGCTCCAGAGACTTCAGAATAATTGAAGCTTTCCATCATCATATCTTCCAGTCCCTTTCAAAGATCTGCAGCAGCTTTGGAAAACATCATCCACATCTTCTCCGTGGTTGGCTGAATAACAGTGGGGAAAGTCATTTATTTGTTGCTCCATTTATTATACCTGGATGTTCTTGATAACATTGCTGAGATCTTTCATTAGAATTTTTAAGCAGGAATGAATGTCATCAAAAGACAGTGCCATTCCTGCCATGCCATCAAGATCTTGCAGCATCTGAATCGTGTCTGTTGGGGCAGAATTTCAGAAGAAAGAGGTTGTGAAACTAATGAGACCAGGTTCATTTTTGGTTGTATTCATCCCTCTGACATTTCTCAAGAAATGGCATTCCTTAGAATTATGTAACTAATGGAACACTTCTCCCTCTTTGCTTTCTACTTCTTGACTGGAGTACATGAGTCATAAGTACTCAAAGGAATTGGTTTGATAAACTTCATACAGCTCTGGCCTAATTTTTCCTATCAAAAAGGCATGCTCCGATAATGTATTGAGTTGGATTGTTTTTTTTGTGTGTGTTTGTGTTATAAATGCATCATATTACTTATTGTTTAATTATAAAAATTAATAAAATTTTATTTTAAAAAAAAGGCGTGCTTAACTCTTTCCCACCTTCCCGATATCTATCACAAATTATCCTTCTTTCCAATACTTTTTCCTCCTGGAACTTTCTATGTGCAGTATGTAGACTTTACAAGGAGAAATGAGTTGAACGGAATAGATGAGCTAGGCAGCTGAAGCATCATATAGCAGTGTCTTTCTCCTTTCTTTTCGCATTCTAATGCCTTTATTTTTGGAGATCCTTCTCATCTGAAGTGAGATGTGTGCATCTGAGGAGAAGGCCTCTGAATCCTGTCACTACTCTTGGAAAGTACTGTTAACAAGGTAGGCGGAAGAAGATTTGGATC